CCACACCTGTGAGTGCACTGTGCACGCGGAACATTCGTGTTGCTACACGTATATGGGAGGGCAGTGTGGGCGGGAGGATGTGGGATGGCATGAGTGCACGTACCGGACCATGTTTCATGTGACTCGCTTTGCGTGCGTTCTCATGCGTTGTGTGTGTGTGTGTGTGTGTGTGTGTGTGTGTGTGTGTGTGTGTGTGTGTGTGTGTGTGTGTGTGTGTGCTTGCATGCCCGGCAGGCACGGTGGAGTTCCTACTGAGTCAGAGCAAGGACATCTACTTCCGAGGCATGAGCACTCGCCTGCATGTGAGTGCGCGCTGCCTTCCCCCATCACCTCACTTCATCTCCACTCACCCACTGTCATGCATGTACCAAGAGACAACCCCACGAATCACCAACAGTGTGCTGCGTACACCACAAACACACAGCAGAACCTCCACAGCAGACAAACAGAAGCAGAAAGTGGAAGACTTGTGAAGTGGTAACCCAAACTCACACCCCCCCCTCCCTTCCCCCCCTCTCCCCTTCTGTCCCCCACCTTCTCTTATCCCATATCTCCCCTCTCCGCATCTCCCCCTCTCCCATATCTTGCCGTCTCCCACCCCTTATTTTCCCTGGCAGGCGGGGCACGTGGCATCGGAGTGTGTGACGGGCGTGGACATAGTGGAGCTCATGCTGCGAGCAGCAGCGGGGCAGAAGCTCGCCGTGCCACAGGACCGCATAGCCGAGCCCAAGGGCTGGGCCATCGGCGCGCGCATCTACAGCGACAACCCGCGCAAAAACTTCCTCCCGTACGCTCGCCCCCTCTCGCTTTGCCGTGTGCCTCTTGTCGCCCCATGCCCCTGATTATGCCCATGCCCATGCCCATGCCCATGCCCATGCGCCTGCTGCATCATGTGCAGCCTTTTCCTCATGCCGCCATCCCTGCTTGCCAGCGCCCATTAGCCCTCCCGTCCCACTGCTCTGCATTCCTATCAGCTGCTTCTCTCCACACACCATTTTTTCTCCCTGACGCCATTGCTGGCCGTTGATGCAGGTCGAGTGGCAAGATCCTACGGTACATAGAGCCCGCCATGCAGTGCTCAAACGAGGGCATTCTGCGCATCGACTCGGGTGTGTCTGAGGGTGACGTCATCAACTTCTACTACCACCCCCTCATGTCCAAGGTACCTTCTACTACTACCCCCTCATGTCCAAGGTACCTTCTACTACCACCCCCTCATGTCCAAGGTACCTTCTACTACCACCCCCTCATGTCCAAGGTACCTTCTACTACCACCCCCTCATGTCCAAGGTACCTTCTACTACCACCCCCTCATGTCCAAGGTACCTTCTACTACCACCCCCTCATGTCCAAGGTACCTTCTACTACCACCCCCTCATGTCCAAGGTACCTTCTACTACCACCCCCTCATGTCCAAGGTACCTTCTACTACCACCCCCTTCCAGAGTACCTCCAACTACCAACACCTCCCATCCTACCCTCATCCTAAACCCTTCCAACCAATCCCATCCAAGCTCCCTGCAACTACCACCCTCGATCTCATGCAACCCCTCTACACGCTGTGCTGCTGTGCGGCGGTGTGGCAGGTGACCACGTGGGCGCCCACACGAGATGCTGCCATTGACAAGATGGAGGTCAGTGCCCCGCCAACACGTGCCCCGCCAACACGTGCCCCGCCCACACGTGCCCCGCCCACACGTGCCCTGCTTTCCCTCGCCTTGCCTTGCTTTGCAGTGCTCTGCCCCCTCTTCTCCTGGCCCGTTTTCTCCTGCCTTTCCCTCTTCTTTTGACTCGGCCTTTCCAGTTGCTTCCTCTCCCCTTCCTCTACCCATGGCAATACGCTCACCCCTACCAACACGTTCCATGCCACCGCACCCCACCGCATCCCACCCATGGCAGTTCGCTCTGGACCGGTACTACATTGAGGGCATAGAGAGCAACATCCCCTTCCTGCGCTGCATTGTCTCCCACCCGGTCAGTGCCCGCCCTGGGCCTTCACACGCTGCCCTTGCCCCTCTCTTCCAGTGGCCTCTGCCCTTCATGCCACACCGCACGCCAGCACGGCACACCTGTGCCCAGCGGGAACGAGAATGCACTTGTGCATCTTGTGCATCGCAGGCCATCGCAGGCCATCGCAGGCCAGTGTTGCTGCCGCTCAACGCCACTTCACCCCAGCAAAACAACACCCACGTCTGCCTGTCGCAAGTCGCACTAGCTGTTGAATCACACAAACGAGTGGGAGGTGAATCGTCTTCTCCTCCCTCCTCGTACTCCCCCTGCCCGCAGGCCTTTGCATCGGGCAACATAACGACCAACTTCATTCAGGATAACTTCCCTGCTGGCTTCTATAACGACCACCTCTCCCCCCGTGAAGAGGTGCGCCCACCCCACACCATGCCACGCCATGCCCCACCATGCCACGCCATGCCACGCCATGCCCCACCATGCCCCACCATGCCACGCCATGCCACGCCATGCCTGCGTGGACGGCAGTGGATCTGCCAGTCTCACTCACACCCCCGTTTCCTCATCACCATCTGCCGTATCATCCTCAAGTCGCGCACTCACCACCTCTCCTTATCCTTGGTTTGCCATCTCAACCCCTCTCCTATCCACCTTCCCCACCTCCCCTCCCCACTCCCACTGCCACCCCCACCCTCCCACCTTACCCGCCCCCACTGCCTCGTCCCCACAGAGCGAGTTGGCGGGCATATCGGCGTTCCTGCACGTGATCAAGGGCGTGCGCGCCTCTGCCACCGTCACCTCGGACCGCCCGGCAGCGGACGCCACGGCAGCAGCGGCGGCGGCAACGCTGTCACAGAAGGCGGTGACGGAGAAGCTGGTGGTGTCCGTGGATGGCCAGCAGGTGCCCGTCACTCTCACGCACTGGCCCTCCGACAAACACCCCGTGCTGCGCCGCGCCGTGAGTGCTGCTGCTGCTCTCTCTCGCCCTCGCCCGCGCATGTCTGCCTGTGATTGCCGCTCAGTTGAACTGGGATAGGGATTGTCGCGTGGGAGTCTTGGTTGAGTTGCGAGGTGGTTCGTGTGTGTGTGTGTAGTGCTGCTTGCATGTGCATTCTGCAGCTCGTATGTGGGTTGTAACATTCCAATCGTTCCTTATCATCCTGCACTAACAGTCGCTGTTCCTGCTTTTCCCTGTGGTGGGGCACATTGGGTGTGGTTGGGGGCCGCATGGGGTGTATTGGGGCAACAATCTGCTGTTTGTGTATGTACCTGTGGTGGGGCGCACGGGGGGTGGCAGAAGGTGGACGTGGCGGGGGAGGTGATGGAGGTGGAGGAGCGGGACCCCATCCTGAGCGGCAAGGGGCTCATCCACATGAGTCTGGACGGCAAGGACACCAGTGTGTGCATCCGCCAGGAGCTGCCACGTGGCTTCTCCATGCTCTACCACGGCTGCATCAAGGTAACAGGCTGCTCCTGTTCTCCCAACCCTTCCCTCACCATTCCATCCTTCGAGCGTCCCTTGCAAAACTGCCCTCTTTCCTTCCTCCCTTGGACCACCTCCCACACACTCTTCCTTGCCTCACACTCTCCCCTCACGCCTGTCCGTGCGTCGCTCCCCTCGCTCTCCCCTGGGTGGCATACGAGCAGGACGAGGTGTTGGTGCAGAGAGCGGACTTAGCACCGCTGCAGAAGTTCATGCCGAAGAAGAAGACCGACGACGTCGCCCATGTGAGGCCCCATCCCCTCCCCACTGCCCACTGCTGCCTCTCACCTGTTCCCTCATTGCTTGCCTGCATCAACCGACTCTTTTTCGCCTCCTAGCTTCAGTGCCCTCCTCACTCATCACATCACTGTCGGCCGCATCTCACCCCATCCTGGGTGTGGGCTCCTCTGTGCGTGCAGCTCATCCGCACGCCCATGCCGGGCTCTGTCGTCAAGATCTCCGTGCGCTACAAGCAGAAGGTGGGCACAGCCCCCTGCCACCCCCGCTCTACCACCCATGTCACACTTCTGAACTTCACTTTAGATTCCATCCTTCATGCTCATGCCACTGCCGCCTCTTGTCCACCCACCATGGCTATACCCCACCATGGCTATACCCCATCATGGCTATACCCCACCATGGCTATACCCCACCCACCATGGCTATACCCCACCCACCATGGCTATACCCCACCCACCATGGCTATACCCCACCCACCATGGCTATACCCCACCCACCATGGCTATACCCCACCCACCATGGCTATACCCCACCCACCGCCCGCTACCTCTAACACATGCCTTGTTGTGCTGCGCCCGCACTGCACTGTACTGCACTGCACTGCACGTGGTTGTGGGTGGCAGGTGCTGCCCGGGGACGAGCTGGTGACAATCGAGGCGATGAAGATGCGCAATGTGATTAGAGCGGAGGAGGCGGGGGTGATTCGCGGCATCTACGTGAAGGAGGGGCAGACCGTCAAGGTCGGCGAGATGCTGCTCGACCTCGACGTGTAACCCACCTGCACCATACACTGCCCCTGCTCTGCCGCTGCTCTGCCGCTGCTCTGCCCTGCACCACTCGACGCCCGACAAACAGCCGTCACAGCCTCAAGACCCAATGCCATTTGTATTGCTACGAGAAGTTCATGAAGTACAGCTTATATTCCACTTCATTCTAACAATTTTGATCGCTCAGGTCAAGCAGGCACAGCTACCACAGCTCTAATCAGCTCCTTCGCTGACGTTTCTTATCTTATGTATTTGCAACAAGCTTACAATACTTGTGCAAAACAAGCCTACTTGGCTGGCACAATTCTCCCTTGGGACATAGACAAGCACACTGGAAAGCTGTCCAACCAGCAGACAGGCAGCCTTCCACAATATATGAGCGTGTGGTCACAAGAATCTACCAGCTAGCACACGCGCCACACAGCCTTCCCTCTGCCAAGAGTTCCGTCAAGCCCTCGCCTTGCTTGCACCTCATTCAGCTGTTTCTTGAATCCAGCCACCACGCGTGCAAAAGTGCGGGCAGTGGTGGTGGGGTTGAATGGGCGCTAGTGGCGGAAGTGGCGCACGTTGGTGAAGACCATGGCCACACCGTACTTGTCACAGCAGTCGATGGCATCCTGATCCCTCACACTGCCGCCCGGCTGGATTATCACCGACACACCTGCCTCACACGCCGCCTCCACTGCATCTCCCCACGCTGGTAGATGGGCAGCAGTGGTGGAGGAGTGATGGGGGGAACGGAAGGGGAGGGAAAAGGTACATGAGGGGGAGTGCTTATATGAAGCTAAACAGTTGCTTTAGGGAAACAAGAACGAGAAGAAAGAAAGTCGGGCAGGCAGAGATCTGTATCACCCCAGCGGGTGTGGTGGCACTGACCGAAGGGGAAGAAGGCATCGCTGGCGACAGCAGCGCCCTTGGCCTCGTCGCCTGCCTTCTCCAACGCGATCTGCCCACTCTTCACCCTGTTGGGCTGCCCACTCCCCATGCCCAGCAGCCGCCCGTCCTGGGGAGAAAAGAGGCGAGTAGAGGGCAAGGCAGGGAAGGATGGCAGGAGGGCTTGTGAGTTAGGAATGAAGAAGCTGCTGAGAGGGTGGAGAGATGAACGTGCAGTACGGCAAAGAAGGAAGTGAGGGCAAGCAGCGAGGCGAGGGCAAGCGGGTGAGAGCCGAAGGTGAGAACAGGGAAGAGGGTAGGGGACGAGGGCAGGGGTACCTTGGCGATGGTGATGGCGTTGCTCTTGACGTGCTTCACCACCCGCCACGCAAACCGTGCATTCTCCAGGTCAGCCTCACTGGGCTGCTTCTTGGTCACCACCGTGAGCGTGAGATCAGCGGCATCCACGTCATCTGAGTCCTGCAGCAGCCACCCGCCGCCCACCTGCCGCAGCGACCGCCTGCCCGTGCTGCTCGCCTGCGCCTGCAGGATGCGCAGCGCCTTGCTCTTCCCCTTCAGCACCGCCAGGCCCTCCTCTGTGTACCCCGGCGCCGCCACGATCTCGTAGAACATGCGCGTCTCGCCGTCCGTGGGGGATCGAAACTCCCTCAGCTCGCGAGCGAGTGCAGCGGTTACCGGGCGGTTGAACGCCACGATGCCGCCAAAGGCGCTCACGGGGTCGGCGCGCACGGCGGCACGGTAGGCCTCGAGGAGGGCTGCTTCTTGCTCTTCAGGGGAGGCGGAGGCGGGGAGGGTGACGGTGGCGGCACCGCAGGGGTTGGTGTGTTTGACGACCACGCAGGCTGCTGTGGGCATCTCCCACACGCACTGCCACGCCGCGTCCGCGTCCAGGTAGTTGTTGTATGACATCTCCTGTGTGGGGGGGTTAGTCAGGAGGGCAAATCGAGAAGTTGGATGGGTAGAAACGGGCAGCAGGAAATGCCGTTTTGATTTGTGCGTGTATGGGAAAGTTGCAGGTCAATTCTGTCAGAGAAAAGCCTTCTCTCCAAATTCCTCCTCTCACACTACTACACTTCCACTCTCCCTGGTGCCCCTTTCCCCACCATCCCCTTCTTCCTCCCAAACCCCTCCCCCCTCCTCCCCCATCCCCTCACCTCCCCTTTCCACGCACCTTGCCGTGGTGCTGCACGGCGGTGCCAATGCCGCCCTTGCCGCGCTCCCCCAGAGAGTCATCGGCATAGAAGGCGGCGCGCTGGTGGGGGTTCTCGCCATAGCGCAGCACGGCGGACAGGGAGAGTGGCACCGCCAGGGCCGGTGGCGGGGCGAACTCTGCAGCGGGCAGGGGTGGGGGTGGGGTGGGTGCAGGTGTAAGGCATGGTTGTGCGTGCAGCTGATTCCATGTGCATCGAAAGGGGTGTGTGCAAACGTGTGCGCATTAACAGGTGCAGTCCAGTAGCACGCGTGTGTGTGTGTGTACAGTGCATGTGAATGAGTGAATGTTTGCGCCCATGTCCCCCCACGCACCATCTGTCTTTGGCTGGGCGTGCGGCCACAGCCACTCGGACACGGCAGCATCGTACGACGCGGTGTGTTGAAACGCCTTCCATGCCAGGCGCCTCCTCAACGCCTCCTCGCCCTCGCCCTCGCCCTCGGCCTTCCCCCCCTTGAGCGCGGCCAGCAGCGAGGGGTAGTCTGCCGGGTCCACCACCACCCACACGTTCTCGTGGTTCTGATGGGGGGGGGATGAGGACGAGCGCATGGGGGACACGGACCAGGGCACGGGGAGAGAGCGGCCACATGAGGCATGAGCGCGTGAGCCAATCAGATAAGCGCAGAGGGTGCTCAAGTTTCTGGGTTCCAAAACCTCCTGCATTCCCCAACATCCCTTTTCCTACACCGCTTCCTCTTGCCACCGCTTCCCCCCTGCTTTTCATGCTGTCCTATCCGCCTTCACCTCCCTTCCCTCCCTCCCTCCCCCACCTTAGCAGCGGCGCGGATCATGGTGGGGCCACCGATGTCGATGTTCTCAATGCCCTTCTCCAGTGACGCCCCGCCCTGCGCTGTCACCGTCGCCACAAACGGGTATAGATTCACCGCCACCACGTCGATGGGACCTGTGTGGGGGAGGGAAAGGGGGGGAGAGCGAGAGGGGGGGAGAGCGAGAGGGGGGGAGAGCGAGAGGGGGGGAGAGCGAGAGGGGGGGAGAGGGGAGGGCACCTGGGATGAGAGGCGCAAACGGGTACAGGTTCACAGCCATTACGTCAACGGCGCCTGGTGGGGAGGGGAAAGGGAGTGGGGGAAGGAGTTGGGGGTGGGAGAGGCATGGCATGGCATGGCATGGCATGGTGCAGTGCGGGAGATCAAGGTAGAGGGTAGGGGGGGCAAGCGGTGGGGAGAGGCGGGTGGGCACACCGATGTTGTGGGCAGCAAGTGCGTCCATGTGCGCGGGCAGGCCGCGCCGAGCCAGAATGCCCCCGTGCACCGCCGGGTGCAGCGTCTTTACTCGCCCGTCCAGCTGGCAGACGAGACACGTGGCGCGCACGCAGCGAGTGAGAGGGCGACAGGGGGCGGACGGGAGGGAGGACAGAAGTGGGATGGATGGTGATCGGTGAAGGGGAGTGAGCGGTGGGTAGTGGTGTGGTGGCGTGGTTCGAGCAGCGAGCGCGGGAGGCGAGTGGAGGAGCGGGAGGGGAGGGATGGCTGTCGTGAGAACCCTGAAAGTTGCCGCATTGGAAAAAAATGCAATGCTGCCTCTTTAATCCGTTGGCAAGGCCCACATATGGATAGACGCGGAAGTGCCATATTTGGCATGCCTACCATTTCAGGAAAGTTGGTGATCTGATCCACCGTAGTCACGGGCAGCCCCGCCTCCTCAATGGCTTTCGCCGTGCCGCCCGTCGACACCAGCGTGAAGCTGCCAGGAACGTTCACAGCCGGCGGATCGCCGTGGGGAAGGGGAGGTGCGGGGAGAGGGGGGATGAGGAAGTCAACAGGAAGGAGAGCGGACGAATGGTGAAGCGAAGGGGAGCGGATGTGGAGAGGGGCGTGGAAGCGACAAGCGAATGTGCGCGAATTCGCATGCGCGTTCGCGAAAAGCCCTGAACCTCGCCGCACCAAGAGGCGGTGTCGCCATGCTTCGTGCGTACCCGAGATCCAGCAGCCCCTTGGCGAGCGTATCGAGTCCCGTCTTATCGGAGACAGAAATGAGCGCGCGCTTTTCGCCTGCACGGGAGGGCGCGGACGGAAAGGCAAGGGCGATGCGGAGGCAGCGCGGGAGGCGCGGAATGATTGTGAGAGAGCCGATCGCGAGAGACCGTGCGAAAAGCGATCGCTTTATGGCGTAATGCGTGGTGGAGTGGCGATGGCGACAGTACGAGCGAGTCGAATGGGAGCGCCGCAGATGGACGTTCGCTTGCGAACATAGCAATGCGTTTCCGTGAGACCACGAGCAAGAGCACGGCTGATCTATGCGGGCTCACTTTGACTCGCCATGACGCGTACAGCCCAACGGGCTCGCGAAGGACGGTGTTGTCGCGGTGCCGCGAGAGCAGGGACGGGCAGAGAAGCGGTTCGGCGAGACGCGGCGAGGGAGGAGAGGGCGGCGAGGGCCGCGGGATGCGCGGAGGGCGCGGGGGACGCGAGAGACGCGAACGCGGATTGACGAGTGGAGCAGGAGAGGTGCAGGGAAGAGGCGGCGACGCTGCAATTGGCGGAAGCCATGGCTGGGCGTGTGTTGCAGGTGATAATACGAGGCGAACGCGAAATGGTCAGAAATGTGATACGAGGGGCGATAGAAACTGGCGGGAAAGGCAGAGTGGGAAAAGATGAAATAAATGCACTCCGCTCGATTGGTGAACCTAGGCTTTCCATCTTGTTATAACACCGCTACAAAATGCAGAACCTGAATCGTGTGCTTAAGGTTGCTAAGGCCTGCATATAATTAACCCATCATACAACACGCTTAAAGTGATTCCGGCGCGGAGCCTACGAGGACGCAGATAGCGTCTCAAGGTGTGTGAACAGTTGCCGGTAGCCATTGGGCGACTCGACATCAAAGGGCACGTAGTGAGGGTCCCTGGCGTGCAGGGAGGCCTTGTAGTCCCTCCATGGCACCCACTTCACCTCCGCTACCTCCGACTCCTGGCGGGGAGAGGAGCGGGAGAGAGGGGTGGAGGAGAAGAAGGGTGGGATGAGTGTGAAAGGGGGGGGTGCAGCCGTGTGAGTTGGCCATGCCATGGTGGGCGCACAGGCGGACCTTGTAGTCCCTCCACGGCACCCACTTCACCTCCGCTACCTCCGACTCCTGGCAGTTGGAGACGAGGGTGTGGGGAGAAGAGTAGTGAGAGTGTGGGGTGCAGGCACGAGGTGGGCATGCGAGAGAGGGCCAGCAAAACAGGGGGTGCAATAGATGACACGTTAGGTGGAGAGGGGGGGCAGGTGAGGTGCAGAGAAGGGGCAGGTGGGCTGTGAGGTTGCTCATTGCTCCTTGTGAGGGGCACTTACTTGCAGTGTGAAGGCGGAGAGGGGGAGGGGCTCTGGTACGGTGATGAGGTAGACGTCACTGAACTCGTTGTTTATGTACGTGCCTCCCTTTAACACCCTGCACGGCACACGCGCAGAGGAGGACAGGTTCAATGAGCGGCAGTGGAGTGGAACGAAGTGGAGTGAGGTGCAAGGAGATGCTGGGATAACAGACTGGAGCAGTGCAGGCTGAAGATGTGCAGTGAGTGGAAAGCATAGGTAAGCAGCAAGCAGGAAGGAGCAGCACGCAGCACAGCACAGCAGTGCGAGGCGAAACGCAAGAAGCAGAGAGGGAGAACGAGGGGCGGGTTGGGGGGTGTGGCACGGACGATTGGAAGGTGTCTTGGAAGAGCCACTGGAAGGCGGTCTCCGGCAGTGACAGCCCCAGCTCCTCCTCCATCTCGCGCCTGCCACGAGGGAGGAGAGAGGGGGAATTGGGGGATGGGAGCGAGCAAGGTGATTGTTGAGAGGAGTGGCAGGGGCAGGAAGAGCGAGACAAAAAGACCACAAACGAGGACGGGCGGGGCAGGGAAACCAGGCGTGCGGGCATGGGGGGTGGCGCGCACTGGGCGGTGAGGAGGGAGGAGCAGCCGGTGGTGACGTGGCCGGCGCTAGAAACGTCCCACATGTCGCCCCAGGACTCCTTGTGCGCCGCGCGCCGCTGCAGCAGCAGCTGCGCGCCGCTCTCCGCGAACACCCACGTGTGCACCGCGCGGTGCCACAGCCCGCGCCTGTGCACCTCGCCGCTGGGGGGACGAGGGGGAAACGGGAGAATTGGGGGAACGCGGAGAGGGTGGGAGGCGCGCCGGTTCGGCGAAGTGTGGTGAGGGTGGGAGAAGGATGCGCTAGCAGCGCCGCGACACGGGACGGGAAGGAATGGGGACGTTGATCGCATGCAGGACAGGCAAGCAAGAGGCGGCGGGCGGGCGCGCGGCGCGCGCGGCTCACCGCGGAAGCGCCTCCCCCGTGGCGTGGCCCTTGTCGTCTAGCACATCCAGCAGCTCCGCCTCCAGCGCCGCCGCCCCCGCCGCCAGCTCCGCTGTCGGATCCACCGCGTTCTGCGGCGGCGGAATTCCCTCCGTCATGGCGCTGGCGACACCGACCCGATCGCGGCGGAATGCGAATGGCGCAACGCGCTTCGGCGAGGTGAGGAGAACAGCGATGAAGGTGGAGGGAGGCTGCGGAGGGCGTGGTCTGCTCGGGGTACGACGAGTCGGGAAGAATGCGAATGCTAAAAAAAGGAATGTAACAACTGGGGTTTCCTCTGACGTACGCCTTACCGAACACCCGACGAGCCGTCAGAGCTAAAGAGATGGTAGTGCCATATTGGAACGCTTCACAAAAGATAAAAGCCTAATCTAAATTACTAAAGCCCCAGTTTGGTTTTGCTCAAAATACCAATGTGGGTGGGGGCGATTGCAAACAACATACCCATACATTGACCATCATCTCAATCCCGACCTGCACAATAGAAGAAGACATGTAACACACAAACAGGAAAGTTGAAATGAAGAAACAGAGGAACAACGCTGCACAGCACATCAGAGGGACCACAAATACCGGAAACATAATCATTGAGGAAGAAGCAGCAAGTCACGCAGTGCAACGCACCAGGTGGTTTTGCACATGACAGCGGCATGTCGCACAGCCCGCTTGGGATCATCCAGACACCCGTCCATTGCTCTCAGCACCTGGATGGGCCGTTGGGGTAGGGAGCATGGCAGAAGGTAATGATGAGACCAACCACGTTGCGGCACCCCCCATTCCTACCCTTCACATCTCATATCTCAGGTATGCTCTTAACCCTAAAAAATCCTCAACGCTGTATGGAGCTCTTACTGTTGCTGAGCGTCTACTCCCTCCCACAGCAAGCCCACTTCACATCCCCCCTCCCACTCACTTACCTTGGCACGATGCGGAAACACTTGTGTCTGTGGTAGCGCTGCCAGCGCTGTAAGGCTCTGCACTGCCGTCTCCCGAACCTCCTGGCGAATGGGGGGCAATTGGGGAAGTGAGTTGGTGGAAAGGGGAGCATAAAGAATTGAATGGAAGGGCAGATTGCAGGCTGGCATGAGTGACGTGAGGAGGCAGGGAGTGAAATGAGGAGAAGTGGATAGAGGGGACTTGCGCAGCAGGGTTCCAAGGCACGGTGAGGTGCAGCAGCATGCTTTACATGGGCATGCGTCTATACGGCACACAAGCACGGGACACGATTACATGGGCAGGGTAACGGAGCGTGGAGTGGGCAACACACCATGGAGTGGGGATAGGAGGCGAGGGCGAGGAGGGTGGTGACGATGGTGGTGAGGTGCTGCCCACACAGGTCCCTCGCTGATGGGGTGGTGGATGAAGGATGAGGGATGAGGGAAGATGGATGAGGAAGGGCGGATGGTGGATGGGAGATGCGGGATGAGAGCGAGAGCAGTGTGAGTAGGACTATGGAAAAGGGGCCACAAAATGAAGAGAGCTACTCAAAGGCGGAAGAGATAATCTTTCATGGCACGACATCCACTCTCACTGTATCATGTCCACCTAACCCAGTATGCTCCAGTGGGATGCATGCAGATTCCTGCCATGTGCCATATGCCATGTGCCATGTGCCATGTGCCATGTGCCATGTGCCATGTGCCATGCAGCACCGGCCTGCTGCCCTCAAGCACAAGCACAGCCCCAAGAACTGCACGCACCGGTGCCCTGCGAGGTGGCGAAGGAGGCGAGCAGCAGCAGCAGTGAGTGCAGGCGATCTGAGTCGATGCGGTGGGGTGAGAGGGACGCGAGTGCCGAGAGCAGCAGCGGCAGCACCTGATGGGCGCACGGGCGGAGAGAAAGGGGGGGTTGACAGGGAGGGGAGGCAATGTAGTGAGGAGAGGGCAGTGGGGTATGTGCTGGGGGCATGAACAGGCAGGGCAGGGGAGCAGTATGCGATTCGGACATGTGAAGGGGTTACAGGCATGAGCAGACCTGCGGGGCGGAGAGGAGCAGAGCTGCCGGCGGGGCGTTGGCCACTGTGTGAGCGAATGCTCTCAGACACTGGGCTCTGAGGGGGAGGAGGGGTGGGGAGAGAGGAAAAGGATATACGATTGCAAAGGGAGGAGATTAAGGGTCGTGAAGGCGACGGGCGATGCGAGTGCAGATGGAAGCAGTGATGGGCGAACAGGACGACGACAGAGCAGCGAGCAGCAAGCAGGGAAGTGCACCTGCGGGCATGGGAGGTTGGGGAAGGTGGCATGTGGGGGAGGGAGGTGGCGAGGGCGGGCAGGAAGGCGGAGAGGAAGCGCTGCTGGTAGAGCGGGCGGCACACACAGTGGCACTGGGAGGTCAGCCAGTGCGCATCCTGCCCCATCACCACTCCAAACCCCTCCGCTGCTGCCACGCCCACTGCACTCACTGCTGCCTCGCTCCCCCCCTCTGCACCTCCCACCTTTCCCCCACTCCCCTCCCCGTCCGCCTGTGTATCCCCCTCCACTTGCTCCCCCACCTCCGCCACCCCCTTCTCCATCATAGCGGTCTGCAGCAATGCATGAGCAACCCTCCCCATGCTCGCATGGCCTCTCGCTGCCACTGCCCAGCCCACCCATGCCAGCAGCCGCATCCGCCTCACACCCTCCTGCCCCTCCCACCCCTGCGCCTGCACCTCCCTCCTTCCCTCCGCCCCCACCTCTCCCCCCTCTTCCACCCCCAGCACCTCCCCCAACACCACCTGCAGTGCCTCATCCACCGACCAAACTGCACTGCTTCCTGGAACCTTCCTCCCCTCCTTGGGCCACTTATTGACGAGCGAGGCGACTGCCACACTGGCAGCCTCTGCTGAGTCAGCAGACACAAGAGCGGGCGATGACGTGGCAATGAGGGAGAAGTGGCGCAAGATGCGTTGCAGCAGAGCCATGTGGTCTACGCCTGCTGCACCGCTGGCGCCCTCCTTTCCCTCTGTGTGCTCTCCCTGTGATGGGGAATCTTTTTCCTGAGCTGCTGAGAGCGTGGACTGAGTGGTGTGAGTGGCGTCTGCAGCGAGTAACGATGGGCGCAGGCTTACGAGCAGAGCGGCTGTGAGGCGATTCAGAGACTCCTCAGTGCACATGGGAAGGGCGGTGGCAAGAGGTGCGGGTGTGGGAGCAGGGTGCGTGGATGATGGGGTGGAGGAGGAAGAGGAGGAGGAGACTGTTAGGAGGTGCAGGCGAGGGGCGAGGGAGGAGAGGAGG